GTAACCACTACACTACCAGAGCTCCTTAAAAGCAGAGTTGTTGTTGTTAAGTGCCATCGAGTCGGTTCCGACCCATAGCGACCCTGTACAGGGTTTCTGAGGGTGTAAATCTTTACGGGAGTAGAAAGCCTCATCTTTCTCCCGCGGAGCGGCTGGTAGTTTTGAACCGCTGACCTTAAGGTTCGCAGCCCGATTCGTAACCACTACGCTACCAGAGTAGTCAAGAGCAAAAGCCATGGCAACACTCCTTCTGGATGTTTATGGCATTTTGCTTATTGACTTTCTGGAGGGCCAAAAACCAAAAACATCTACTTATTGGGAGAGTGTTTTGAGAAAGTTAGTCAAAGCTTGAGCAGAGAAATATCCAGGAAAGTTTGATTTGAGTGCTAGTGTGGCGCTGTGGGCTAATGTGTCAGACTGCAAAGTCGTTTGAACTGCAAGCTCACCAGTTGCTCCTTGGAAACCCTATACAGGGTCCCTATGGGTCGGAATCGACTCAATGGCACTTAACAACAACAACCTCTACCACAATGCTGCTCAGTCCTCTCGTCAAACAAGGGCAATTTTTCAAGAATTTCTTGGGATCCTCCTTACAGTCCTGATTTGGCTCCTTCTGACTTCTTGCTTCCTAATCTTAAAAAATGTTTAAAGGGCACCCGTTTTTCTTCAGCTAACCATGTACATGAGACTGCATTGCCATGGTTAAATTCCCAGGACCCTCAGTTCTTTAGACATGGACTAAATGGCAATAGACTCACTTACAAAAATGTCTTGAAGTTGATAGAGCTTATGTTGAGAAATAAAGTTTATATTTAAAATTTTTTTTTATCTTTTGATTCCATTTTTCCATGAGCTTTTTGAAGACTCCTTGTGTAAGAGAAACAAACTGTGCCTTAGCGCCATTCTGAAGAAAATGGTGGCAAGCCTGGGGTAGAGTGAAGAAATGAGTGACAAAAGCAAACATCCTTTAAATGTTCTTTAATTTTTTGTGAAAGCTTAAATATAAAGAAAGGTACAGAGAATATGCATTTACAATGACATACCCATGATAATTGGCCATATTTGCCTTTTTTTAAAAAAACGGAAAGAACTATTACAATCTCCTTTTGCATCCTTTACCCAATTCTCTCCCCAGAGATACCACTGTCTTAAATTTATTATTTTCATGAATGCTATTACTATGTAGTATTTAGCCATGGAAAATATATAGCATTGATTTGCATGTTTTCACTGTATATAAACAAGAGATATATATCACACAAAATACTTTCAAGTTCACTCCCAATATTGTTTGTGAAACTTATCCAAGTTGTTACAATTATTTCCAGTTTTGACTGGTGTTCTAATACCACCAATTTCATCCTTCAACTGGCATGAAGTGCCATTTTTATCATATACAGGATTTCTACAGATAGATCATAGTCAATCTTTTTTTTTTTTTTTTTGCTATTTTAAAGAATTTATACTTCATAGACTAATTACAGAGCAAATTTGTGAAATTAAAGGGGAAAAAAATGCCCTCTGAGGAATTTGGCTGGAATTGCTTAATTTGTTAATAGAAATATCTACGAACTTTTTATGTTAGGTTTCTTCCACCTAGTTCTCAATTTATATTTTTATTATTCTGTAGTTTTTTGGGGTTAGGAAGTTTCATATTTAAGTATTAATATTAAATATTACTATTTAAATATTAATACGATCTCAGCTTCTACAATTTAGTCCCTTTAGGGCTTGACCTTTGCATGCTAATTGTTTCCTCATGTCTAAACAGTGCCTGGGAAATTGTAGTGTGCTGTTGGATCAATTCTGGCTAATAGCACTCCTACAGGACTAAGCCGTTCATAGGGTTTCTGAGGCTGTCCTCATTACAGGAGCAGACTGATAGGTCTTGTCTCCCACGGAGCAGCTGGGAGGGTCAAATCATTGATGTTTCATGCAGCAGCTGAGTCTTTAACCACTGTTCCACCACGACACCTTAGGCAAATAGTAGCTACTCCATAGTTACTGAATGAATGAAAGCCTGTATTGATATATCTGGAGTTTTCCTCCCTTACAATCCCTTTTTCATTTCAGTTTTGCAACAAATGGACAAAACTTTAGAAAGTTTCTACTTTTTCTATGCTCTGGAACAGTTTTGTGTTATAGTTTAAAGGCTTTAAAATCATCTGAATGATTATATGAGTTTACAATTATCTGAGCCTAGTGCCTTTTTATGAGATAGTATAAATTTCCATGTTTGTTGGGTTTTTAGAGTTAATTGTGAAGTACTCCAACCTCAGTAGAAATTCTGCATTCTTCTTAGTGAATCCTGGTCTTCCTTATTTTAATTGATGTATCCAAGCCATTCTTCACATAGTCCAGCTTCTCTGATTCTCTGCTTAGCATACAGACTGAATAAGTATGGTGAAAAGATGTAGCGTGGTTGTACACCTTTCCTGAGTTTAAGCCATGTAGTTAGTTCCCACTCCCTTGTTCTCTTGGAGTGACCGCCTCTTTATTATAGGTCTATTATAGGTTCCACATTAGTACAATGAAATATTCTGAAATTCCCATTCTTTGCAATGTTATCTAAAATTTGTTATGACCCATACAGTCAAATGCCTTTGTACAATCAATTGCTTTATAAGGATGCAAAAGATGAACAATGAATAAGGAAGACCAAAGAAGAATATTGGACATACCATGGACTGCTGGAAGAATGAACAAATCTGTTTTGGAAGAAGTGCATTCAAGTTGCTCTGTAAAAACAAGGATGGTAAGACTTTATCTCATGTACTTTGGACATGTTCTCAGGAGGAACCGGGCCCTGAAGAAGGACATCGTGCTTGATAAAGTAGGCCCACTGCCAGTGAAGTAGCTCTGACTCTTAGAGACCCCATAGGACAGAGTAGAGCTCCTCCCTAGGGTTTCCAAGGATGTAAATCTTTATAGAATGAGACTACTTATCTTGCTCTTACAGAGCAGGTGATGGGTTCTAACCATTGTCTTTTGGGTTAGCAGAACCGAACTCACTGCACCACAAGGGCTCCTTGGATAAAGTCGAGGGTCAGTGAAAAGAGAAAACCCTTCAATGAGATAGACCGACACTGGCTACCACAATGGCCTCAACCATAGCAACGACTGTGTGGGTGGTGCAGAACCGGGTGGTGCTTCATTCTGTGGGACATGGTTGCCCATGAGTCACAGTTGACTTGACAGCAAATAGTAACAACAACAACATGAACTACTGGGAAAATGAACAAATCTGTTTAGGAAAAAGTACAGCCAAAATGTTCCTTAGAGACGAGCATGGTAAAACTGTGTCTCATAGACTTTGGACATGTTCTCAGGAGGAACCAGTCCCTGGAAAAAGGTATCATACTTGGTAAACTAGATGATCAGAGAAAACGAGGACCTTCGACAAGATGGACTCACACAGTGGCTGCAGCGATTGAGACGGCCCAGGTAGGTCTGGGCAGTATTTCGTGCCATTGTACATAGAAGTTGCTGTGAGCTGGAACCAACTTGATGGCACCTAATAACAACATCCAATCCATTCTCATTAGAAATGTCCTAACACTTGTCATAAGTGTTATAGTTCTACTACCAGTGTCTATATTAATTACACACCCAAGGTACAAAGACTCCCATTTATGTCCCCAAATGTTTAGGTTTTCCTCGTTCTGACCTGCTGCTTCCTGGGGATGCTCTACTTTGTCTACCAAGAAACCTTGTTTTAGCTGTGAGGACTAAATGAGTTAATAAATGGTGAGTACTTTAAACAGTACTTGGTGCATAGTAGGCACTCAATATATGTTATTTATTAAGCATCTGCTGTACATGAAGTGTTTTACATGCAAACTTCTCATTTTATGCATAAATCTACAACAGACACGATTTCATTTCATGCTTACATTTCTGTAATACATCATCCTTTATTATCTCTATTTCAAAAATTAAAGAAAACCCTGAGGTTTCACAAACCAACAAATTGTTCAGAGTGCCACAATAGTGGCTGAGCTATGATTCTCCAGAATCTAAGTTGTTAGTGCTGGGAAGTTTCTAGTGTCCAGAGAGGGAGCTAGAAGTCAAAGAAGGTTGAATTCTATGGGCCCATTCCCATCAAGTCGATTCCAACTCATACTGACGTTAAACAACAGACTACAACTACTTCCCCCCCCCCCCCCATACAGGGGTTCCAAGGCTGCAATTTTTAAAAAAATGTTTTATTGTGAATTATGTGATAGTTTACATGGGAGAACATTAGCTTTAATTCATCCTATCGTATATCATTTCATTGCCATGGTTACAATCCCCTCCATGCATCATCAACCAACCACACAGTATTTGATAGCCCCCAGTCATCAGCACACAGCCCTTCTCCCTCTCTGGGTCTAGAGTCCCCAGCCGCTCCATCTCTCCACGTCATCATCTCTGCCAAGGCTGCAATTTTTACAAAACATACACTGGAGATCATACAATGAAAAGTCTCATAAGAAACTTTAAAGGCAGTGGGTCTAAGAACAATAAGGCAAAGAAATCAAAAACCCCCAAACCCATTGCTCTTAAGTTGAGTACAACTCCTTCTTACCCTATAGGACAGAGTAGAACTGCCCCAGAGGGTTTCCAAGGTTGTAAGTTTTGTGAAAGCAGTTGGACACATCTTTCTCCAGGGGAGCAGCTGGTTGTTTCTAGTCACTGATTTTTCAGTTAGCGGCTGAGTGTTCATAACCTCTGCACCACCAGTGATGTGAATTACTAAAAAAAAAAAATCCGTTTGGGTGCTTTGTGGAAATGGATTTAAGGAGAGCCAAAGTGAATGCAGGAAGTCCTGTTAGAGGCTAAAGTAGTTGTCCAGAAGAGAGGAAGCTTGGATGAAGTTGAAAAGTTTGTTGTTGTTGTTGTTAAGTGCCATGGCATCAATTCCAACTCATAGCGACCTGTGTAAGGTTTCTGAGGTGGGGCTGGTGGGCTTAAACCACCGACTTGTGGTTAGCAGTCCAGTGCTTATCCTACAATGCCATACCAAGAATCATGGCAACATCAGAGATAAAGAAAAAAAGACATATTCTAAATTGAAAAGACAGGAGCTATAGGATTTGGTGACTAACCAGATTGGGTGGTGAGGGTGACTCCACAACATGAATTTTCTGATGATGAGCAAGGTGAGCATGCTGTCTGAAGGTTTTTTTGCATTCCTTACATTCATAGGGTCTTTCTCCAGTATGGATTCTCTGATGTTGGGCAAGCGATCCACAGTAACTGAAGGCCTTCCCACAAACATTACATTCGTATGGTTTCTCTCCAGTATGCACTCTCTGATGTTGAGTGAGGGATGAGTCATTGCTAAAAGCCTTCCCACATTTAATACATTCATAGGGTTTCTCTCCCGTATGAACTCTCTGATGTTGAGCCAGGTATGCAATCTGGCTGAATGCTTTCCTGCATTCCTGGCATTTATAAGGTTTTTCTCCAGTATGAATTCTCTGATGTTGAGCAAGGTGTGAATTCTGGCTGAAGGCCTTTCCACATTCCTTGCATTTATAGGGTCTCTCTCCAGTATGTATTCTCTGATGCACAGTAAGGTATGCACGAAGGCTGAATGCTTTTCCACAAACATTACATTCATAAGGTTTCTCCCCGGTGTGAACTCTCTGGTGTTGGGCAATGGATGATCTATTGCTAAAGGCTTTCCCACACTCAATACATTCATAGGGTTTCTCTCCAGTATGAACTCTCTGATGCTGAGCAAGGTAGGCAAACTGGCTAAAGGCTTTTCTACATACCCTGCATTCGTATGGTTTTTCTCCAGTATGCACTCTAAGGTGTTGAACTAGATGTGCATTCTGACTGAAGGCTTTCCTGCACTGTTGACATTCATAGGGTTTCTCTCCAGTATGAATCCTCTGATGCTGAACAAGATTTGATCTCTGACTAAAGGCTTTTCCACAGTCCACGCATTTGTATGGTTTCTCTCCAGTGTGAATTCTTTGATGAAGAGTAAGGGATGAGCTCTGGCTGAAGACTTTTTCACAATCATTACATTTCAAAAGTTTCTTCTCTACATAGACATTCTTGGGCTTACTGCCCATTAATTTTCTTTTAAAGCTTTTTTTGTATGTGTCAGGTTTGTGTGCCTTTTCCTCCTTGGGAATTATCTGTTGTGCGTGAAACAGTGTGTTCTGATAGAAGCTTCTCCAAGAGTTGTCAGACTCTAGCCCTTTGTTATCAGCAAGGGTTTCTTCATGAACAATTGCCTCTTCTTTAAAACGGGCCTCCTGATTTCCTGTTTGCCTCTCAAAATGATGCTCATAACTCCACTCTTCTTTTATACTGGAGTATTCAAGGCCATAGCGTGTACGTTTTTCTATTAGCTGCTGGGCTGATTCTTCTTCAAATATGGCCTGCATGGGGGTTAATTCTCCAGTTGCACACATAGAGTCCCAGCCTGAAAAACCATAAGAAAAGTCTTCTCTATTATGTGCCAACAGAAAGTCCATTCAGAAAATGAATTACATGAATTTCATAGCAGATGAGACTCATAAGGACGGTGTTCCCATCGTTCTTACACGTACAAGAACACAAATGAAGTTGCTTACAGAGAAACTTAGGGGTAAATGAGTGAAATTATTAAATAATCAGTTAAATAAAATCTCAGGACAAAAATGAAATATAAAGGAGATCTGGGCTCAGTTAAAATGTTATGCCTATATTAATAACACAGGTACTCCATTCTTACAGTTGCTTCATTCAAGAACACTCCTTGAACAAATATTTACCTTGTGGCAAGTACTGTTCTAGATGCTTTCAGCATTCTAGCAAGTAAAACAAAGATTCTTACCTTTATTGACCTTATATTCTTGGGGTGACAGAAAATAATTGACAAGTAAATTTTATTACATGTTATAAAGTACTCAGTGAAACAGAAAGAAAAAGAAAATCAGGATAAAGGTGATCAGGAGTGTGGAGAAAGTCAAACGTCGGAATCACCAATAAATTAACCAACTTGAAGGCGCTTAATGACAGCTACAACATCATACTTAATGGTTAACAAACACTTTTCCCTGAAGATTAAGAGCAAGGCAACAATGTCCACTCTTATTCAACATAGTACAAAAAATTACTAGTCAGTGTATAACAGCAGGAAAAGCAGTGAAAAGGCTTAAGTACCAGAAGAGATGAAACAACATTCTCCCTAATTGAAGATGACTGGATGTTCCATATAGAAAACCTCAAGGAATCTACAAAAACCTCCTAGAATTAGCAAGTTCAACAAGGTCATACAATACAAGATCAACATATAAACATAAGATGTATTTCTATAGATGAGCAGTGAATACATGAACACCATTTCGAATGCTAACACCCCTCCAAAGAAAGAAGAAATATTAAGTACTTATCTAACTAAATATCTACACTGTTGGTTTGCTAAACACTATAAAACATGTATGAAAGAAAACCTGGACAAAATGGAGAGACATGCTGTGGTTTTGGGTTGGAAGACACTGTTGTGAGTTTTCACCAAACAGAAATATAGGTTAAAATGATTTCAATAAAAATACCAGCAATATTGTTTTGTAAATATAAGTGAGCTTATTCAAAATTTATATAAGAAAGAGAATGAATGAGAATAACTAAACAGTGAAAAGAACATTAAAATGTCAAAAATCATTTTAGCTGGTTTTATGATCTACTGGACAGCAACAGAAATAAAGACTAGAATACTGGCAGAGGGCTAGACACAGATCACACAAGAGCCTGAAATATACTTCTCACCATTTATCTCCAAAATATAAAATCTTATGTTCACACAAAAACCTGTACATAAAGGTTCATAGCAGCCTTCACTACCAGTCAGTCCACTGACGCTCACGGATGCCCAGATATTAAATCCAAATATCTTTCAGGAAGTGAGTAGTTGGGCAGACCATACCATAGAACACAACTCCATAATCAAAATGAATGAGCTATTTATATACACAACAACTTGGATGAACTGTAAGTCATTATGCTGAGTGACTTGACTCAGCATATGGTTTTATGTGGCTGTGATGCTGAAAGCTATGCCATCACAGTTTCAAACTCCAGCAGAGTCACCCATAGTGGATAGATTTATTTCATTGACGTTTCCAGACTAAACCAGATGCAGAAGAATGCCCAGGCAATCTACACCTAAAAAATAATTTTTAAAGCTAATGAAAATAACAGCAGAACACTGTCTGAACTAGTGCCAGAAGATGAGCCCCTTGGGTTGAAAGGCACTCAGATATGACTGGGAAATAGCTGCCTCCCCAAAGTACAGTTGATCTTAACAGCATGGATGGAGTAAGGCTTTCAGGACCTTCATTTGCTGATGGGGTCTGATACAAAATGAGAAGAAATGGCTGTAAAAAAATCCATTAACAATCAGAGTTTGGGATGTATAATATTGTTAAAAACCTGGCAAGAATTGTTTCTTCCTTTTATGAAGGATACACTGCTTCAGATAAAAGAAATTGGTGGCCAACTTCATCAAGCACATCTGACAGCGCACAGAAAAGGATTGTGGCTGTTTGCTGCTGTCGAGGAGACACTGCCTGGTGTGACCTGCTGCTGCTGTTGCTGCTGTGTGCCATCAAGATGGCTTTGACTCATAGTGACCCTCTAAAGTGTTTCTATGGCCGTGAGTCTTCACGGGAGCAGAAAGCCTTCTCTTTCTTTCTCCCATGGAGTGAGTGAGGGATTCAAACTGCTGACCTTGCAGTTAGCAGTGCAATGCATAACCGCTACCAGGGTTCCTTGTATTCGCTAACCTCCTAATATTCTCTAAACACCTCTACATTTAAGAGGTGTGATGAAAATCAGAACATCCCCCCTGCACCGCCACCAAAAAAACCCCAAAACAACGAACAAACAGAGGGAACGGAAGCAAATGGTGTTGAATGATGATGCCCGGGGGAGACTGTAATCATTGCAATGAAGATGGTGTAAAGCTGATGTTCTCCCATGTAAACTATCACTCAGTTCACAGTTAAAAACAAAGTTTTAAAAAAAGTGCCATGAGACATTGCCAACACTGAGTCAATGAAAAACACTGAGTCACCTGAATAGCAAGGTACCTGCCTGTTTCTTCTTCACTCACCTGAGCACAGGCCTTCCGACAGCTCTGTCTTCACCAGCCAGGGTTCTTGCCCTTGCTCCAACAATAATATCACACTTGGCTTCGAAAAACAAAGTCCTGCAAAAATGAAACGAAATAGAATTCACATCCAATTCTTTAATCAACAGAAAGAGGGAGCTTACAGTAAGCAGAGAACATGTTAAACGGACATGTATTAGAAGAACAAGGAAAATGCAACTTCAGACATAGGTTTATAAATGACCTGTCCACTGCCTTGTGGTGTAGGATATACACTGGACCGCAAGGTTGGTTTGAACCATAAGGTCGGCAGTTCAAACTCACCAGCTACTCCTTGGAAACCCTTCACAGAGTTGCTATGAATTGGAACCTGACTCAAAGTCACTTAACAACAACTGCCGACTCCACAAATAGTAAAGCATTTATTTGGCATAGGAAGTAGACATTCAGTCAAGTATTGCCAATGCTACCTGAAAGTACACAATGGTGTTAGCAAAAAACCCCTTATGAATGAGGATAGGTCTCTTGTGATACAATAGGGAATAATTGTTATCAGGACTGATTGTGAGGGTTGGAAATGTAA